AATTTTCAATCTTTTGACTGTTTCTAAGGCCCCGTTTACATTAATGCATTTTAGTTTGAAAACGCATAAGTTTTGCTACGGTTACACCATCCGTCCACACTACGAGTTTTCGAGCGCCGACAACGGAGCGTTTTGGAAATCCTGGAGAGCCCGTTTTCATTCTAAAATGCTGCTGCTCTGTCTCAGTGTGGATGAAGGAAAATGGAGACATCTGAAAACGGAGGCGGGGCTGCTGAGATTCGCCAGCTGATTGGGGGTTTTGTGTCATTGCGTATCCTTCCCTTATTCATCAAGCCCCTATCACATGATTATACCAGAAGACCAGCCTTCACTGTAAACAACAACATGGAAACAGAAATGGGACTGTTGTTTGCACTTTTGTCTATTTTAGGCACCATTGTGCTGTTAAACTCTGCCTTTTTTATTACAGCAGCTGCATATTTGCTAGAATGCGCATGTCCAAAGTGCGCGAATGGTCATGTGATATACGTTTTTGTGGCGTAGTGTGGACGGAGATATGTTCAGAAATGCTAGGTGAAGCGTGAGTGTGGAGGCGGATCGTTTTTGATCTAAAACGCCATTTTCAAACTAAAACGCACCAGTGTAAACGGGGCCTAAGAGCTCACAGAAATCTCTCTTGAGCAGTTTTGACAGCTCCTTCTGAATATCATGCTTGCCCACATGAATGACAATCCTTTTAGCAGTCTTGTGCTTCTTCAAAATTTTCTGTCAAAAACTGTTGCTTGAGGGAAGCAGTATGACATTCCAGCTCTGCTCCTAAAATTCCTGATTATTGAATCTCCTACAATCAGTTTTCTTATCTCTGGTGTGATCGGTGCAGAGTGCCTAGTTGGCCTTGAGCCTCCATTCCATGCAGAATTAGCTGCTGAGTCATTCGCTATCTGTCTAATTGCCAACAGCTCTCCCCCCATAGCCCTAAATTTGCCCCATACCATACTCGCGTAAATCAGTGACAGACTGCTTGATAATTTCACATGGTGAAATATCTTGTGAGTTTGTAACTATTTTACATCAAATGTTACAAGAAGAATACTGTTCTTAAGAGTAGTTTTCATTTAACTAATGTATTGCAAATGTCAGGGTAGCCACAGCGGAATGAACCGCCAATTTATTCGCCAGCAACCCATCTCTTGGAAACATCCATACACACTCATTCACACTCATACACTAAAGACAATTTAGCTCACCCAATTCACCTGTACTGCATGTCTTTGGACTGTGGGGGAAACCAGAGCACCCGGAGGAAAACCCACGTAAACTTCACACAGAAATGCCAACTGACCCAGCCGAGGCTCGAACCAATGACCTTCTTGCTGTGAGGTGACAGCATTACCTGCTGCGCCACCGCATCGCCAGGTGATTAAATAATTCACCACATTTTGTACAGAGTTTCTGAACATCTGCGCACAAATTATTGGTCAAAGTAGTCAAATCAATTGGTTCTCTGATATCATGATGGTTTAACCCCCAGAGCCAGTTCTAAATGACCAGACAAAGTGGTGCTTGATATATATATATATATATATATATATATATATATATATATATATATATATATATATATATATATATATATATATATATATATATATATATACACACACAGTTTAAGACAGAATTAAGACATCCTCGCTGTTTTATTTTTCCCCAATTTCTGTTTAATGGAGAGAAGATTGTTTCAACACATTTCTAAGCATAATAGTTTTAATAACTAATTTTTAATGACTGATTTCTTTTATCTTTGCCATGATGGCATAAAATAATATTTCACTAGATAATTTTCAAGACACTTCTACTGCTTAAAGTGACATTTAAGAGCCTAACTAGGTTCATTCATTTATTCATTCACTTGTCAGCATAGTCCCTTTATTAATCCAGGGCAACCACAGCGGAATGAACCGCCAACTTATCCAGCACGTTTTTACGCAGCAGATGCCCTTCCAGCTGCAACCCATCTATGGGAAACATCCACACACACACACACACACATATACTACGGACAATTTAGCCTACCCAATTCACCTTTACCACATATCTTTGGACTGTGGGGAAACCGAAGCACCCAGAGGAAACCCATGCAAACGCAGGGAGGACATGCAAACTCCACACAAAAACACCAACTGAGCCGAGGGTCGAACCAGCGACCCAGCGCTGTGAGGCAACAGCACTACCTACTGCGCCACTGCTTCGCCCCTTAACTAGGTTCATTAGGTCATATACAGTTGGTCAGAATTATTAGCCCCCCCTTTGAAATTACCTTTTTTTAAAAATATATTTCCCAAATGATGTTTACCAGAGCAAGAAAATTTTCTCAGTATGTCTGATAATATTTTTTCTTCTGGAGAAAGTCTTACTTGTTTTATTTCGGCTAAAATAAAAGCATTTTTTTAACAGCTATATTAGGGACGAAATTAATAGCTCCTTTAAGCTATATATATATTTTTGATAGTCTACAGAACAAACCATCATTATACAATAACTTGCCTAATTAGCCAATCCTGCCTAGTTAACCTAATTACCCTAGATAAGCCTTTAAATGTCACTTTAAGCTGTATAGAAATGTCTTAAAAAACATCTAGTCAAATATTATTTAGTCATCATGGCAAAGATAAAATAAATCAGTTAATAGAAATGAGTTATTAAAACTATTATGCTTAGAAATGTGTTGAAACAATCTTCTCTCCATTAAACAGGAATTGGGGAAAAAAATAAATAGGGAGGCTAATGATTCAGGAGGGCTAATAATTCTGACTTGAACTGTATATAGGGAGAATACTACTCTGTCTCATCTGAATGCTTCTCTTGTTCTGGGTCTCTCTATGTGGCCGGTCTTTGATGAGTTGCAGTTGGTGGGAAATGAGGGGACTTAGGTGTTCCTTGTTCCTCTCCAAGATGAAGCTGATAGCTCCTTGGGATGCTCGTCACACCGCTTTGGGTGCAGGCTGGCAGATTATATGTCCACTCAAAAGACTCATGGGCAACACAATTGGATGACAGTCCTACAGTATATGGTCAAGGATTTCCTGTTTAAGGTCCTTATAGGTTGTAATTGGACCAGCGTGGAGAAAAAAGAAGGTGCGCTGAGCCTCACCAGTCAACATCGGGGGCAGGACCTGCGGCCAGTCATCAACATTCCATTCTTCATTTTTAGCTGTGGTTTCCAACATTTGTAACTAGAATTCAGTGTCATCATGAGGGGTTAGCTTTGGCAGGGGTAAAATAGCTTGGGCACAAGGAGCTTAGGCACAAGTAGCGAAACACGCTGATTGTTGGCCAGGCACTGGATAGCTCTTGCTCCATCTGGTCCTGACGAGCAGCCAGATGCTTGGTCACTTGCTGCTGGTGGATGCTGACCTCAGTGAGCCACTGGAGAAGATCATCCATCCTGCAGAGGGAAGTAGAACTTGCCTGGAAGAAAAATATTCTTTTATTTTTAATTTTTATAGTTCAATGATGAGTGGGGGTGATTCTTTACTCTTTTGCCCGCATTCTCCACCAATGTAACTGGGTGAAGAATCATAAAACAAGACAAATCTAGTTTAGGGTGGGTTCATTTACAACAGGGGTGAATGAGTGCAAGGTCAGAAGGGGTGCTCTTGTCTATTGGGGTGGTCCGTGCCTGTGAGAAGTGTCTGGGAAGCCGATCAGTCACCAACAGCTGTCTGGAGAAAAGAAAGGGAGAAATGTTACTGCTCTCTCTTATACAAATACTTTTCCTGTTCTAGTTCTCTCTGTGTGGCTTTGATGAGTTGCAGCTGGTGTTGATTAGTTGGGAACAAGACCCAAGAATGTAATATATATTATTTATCTATTTATTTGTTGTTCTTTTATTTATGCACCTATTTAATGTATTTACCTTTACTGAAATACTGGCTTTTAAGCACATCAGAAATAACCCTTCACACTATTCTTAACCATTCCCAGAAGCTTTCCTTGGCAACTAAGTTTTTTATCAAGATTTTGTACCCAACATAGTAAAATTGTGCAAAAGGATGTGACAGGTAAACCAGATCTATAGGCGCAATCCTCTTGTTTGAGGAGAAGTTGGGCTGACAAGCGAAGTGGTCTAGTGGTCTAAAACAAAAGCAGAAAATGAACATAAGACTAAAAACAAAGATTACACGAAACAAACTTTAAATGAATGCCTGAGTAGGTATAGGTGAATATAATCTGCAACTTTAGAAACTAATGAGTAGAAACATACCAGGCAGTATAATATAAAAGTTGCATTATTATTAGATAATTTAACCATAACAATTTCAAGTCTCTTATTACTACAGTTACAGTCACAGTCATAATTTCCCTACACAATTAATAAAGTTTTAGCTGTGTGGATAAATAATAAATGTGTTTGCTTTGTATAGGGGCTGCAAAACAAATATCATCCAGTGATATCATCCAGTGACTCAATGCTTCACGAGATGAAGCATTGTCTATTTTCCCAGCATTCTTGGACACACACACACACACACACACACACACACACACACACACACACACACACACACACACACACACACACACACACACACACACACACACACATAGCTGTAAAGTATTTTATACAGTTAAAACTGCTTATTACATGACCTCTCCCTACCCCTGCCTCTAAACTGATCCAAAGAATGCCAAAAGACCTTGTTAAGTATAATTTTGATGCATTGTAAAAGCAAAGACTTCATGCATCCTCATAAACCACTGTACAATTAGGTCATACCCATGTCATTATATAAAAACTGTCTTCGTAAACTACCAAAACCAGTACACACACATACACACACTCAAACACACTCAAACACACACACACACACACACACACACACACACACACACACACACACACACACACACACACACACACACACACACACACACACACACACACACACACACATACACATACACAAAATTGGACATTAAATTAGGTTAAAACTCCAGTTAAACCCCAGAAGTCTTACGCCTTTCCTTCCTTTCTTTAGGTACAGATTAGGCATAATCTGAGGTTGGACACATTTGCTGAACTGCCAGTGTCATTGGTTCTTTTCTCCCTGATCTGCATTGATATAGTGGAAAGAATCCGACATTGCAGACTTACTGGTCAAGGTAAAACAAGATTTACTGCTTTTTAAATCAAATAAATACTTAAAATACTTAAAAAAAACTATTCTTATAGGGGCCAAGCATCAAATATGTAATCTTGTTTGGCTGTGTGTAGAATTTTTTAAAGTTATCAAACAGAAATGTGACAATATTAACCATGGTAAAATTGCAGTCTCTAATTCAAACATTCCCAGTCGTACAAATTTGTGCTAATTTATGCTAAATAACTTTGAAACTGTAAAGGGGGATCATTTTTTTTTCATTTACAGTTTTTTTTTTTTTTTTTTTTGCTTTGACCTGGTTAAAGAAACTAGGATAAACTTAATTTTCCTCAGTATCCCAGCAGAGCAGAAGACATGTCTTGCAAATGTGTAAACCCTTACTCATTGGATTGACACATTTTTCCCAACATTTTTTAAAACAGTTAACAAGGATGTCATTCAAGCAGTCCAAACCCTATTGTTTTAGCTTTGGTAACCAAACAGAAACCATCTATTCCTAACTATTAGAAACTATCAAGATTAGTATGAAATCTTTAAAGCAACGGTTTGACACTCAAATCACACAAATCTTTAATTAGAAAGCAGTCTGCAAACCTCATTAAAAAGTTCTATATTGATCTTTGCTAGCATGGATGGAGGAGGTCAATACTGGCTATGTATTATACTCCTTAAAGATTTACCTTTATTTTGGTTTACATGTGTTTGCTGCAATATTTACAGTATTTACAGTAATTAGGTTCTTTTTTTGTTACAGTATTTCAATTTTCATTCGCAGTTAGAAAAAATGTCATAGATTCAATAAAATTTTAATCAAAGCATTTCTTTTTCTGGATCCAGTTTTTGCAGAAAGTAAAAATTGGCACAGCCTACATTGAAAGACAACAAACAACACTGGCAATAGGCTACAATGTCAAGCAATGGTGCACTGCCTCACAATGAGTTCTGTATTTAGTATTTTGTTGTCTGTTATGTAACACTTGATTGAAAGAGCTCATTTACTTGTTTGCAATTTGTGTTGTTTGAAGGCAAATTTGCTTTTGTTGCATGTTTTAATTGTTTTGGCAGTTAGTGCCTTTTGCAAGCAAAATATGTCATTTTGACCATGAGTGCCACTGTTTAGACCTGTGTGTTGTTAATGTTTTGAAAATGTGGAGTGTCAGTTGATGCTGACATCAAAGCAAACAAGAAAAACTGTAACATATAGACAATTGTAGTGCTGTCGTTTTACAGTTCTGTATGGAGTTTGCATGTACACCATTCACTGCCAGGAGTTAGACTGACAGGTGATCTGACCAATCACAGGAAATATGTTCCTGGATCATGTTCTAACCCTATTTTCCTAAACTTTATCCTCGGACCTGAAAGAGACATGGATGTTGCATGTTTTATTAGACAGGAGAGCAACTGTTTGAATGCTTTTATGATATTTTATATTAATCTAGCTTAAATGTACTTTTCTAATTGTTGTTTTGTCCACACATTTTAACTTGACAAGTAATGTGACCTGTATGAGTATTACATTTATTAGAGCCAAATAATGTCAATTTAAATGATCAAATTACAAAATGTATAACAAAGTAATTTATTGCCTCATCCATGAGTATGATTTCTGCCTGATTAATTTCCATTGGTGGTGTAAGTGAATGTGTCTAAACCATAATTTAACACTTAAACATATTTAGCACGCTCCAGTGGCAAAACCTACATATTGTGCTTTTAAGACATAAAAAAAAACATTATTTTTCTCCAATGATGCTTTTGTCAGGGTTCTGCCACTCTGGTCTTGTAAATTCTTATTTTAGTGGCAGAGCTCTGACACTACCCATGTCTGGTCCTGTTTCTGTCTCTGTGTGCGCGCGCGCCGTCGTGGGTGTACGCGGAGTGTGCGCGCTGCCGCTTGATGTGGCCGCGCGCTGCGTTCCTCAGACGCGCGCTCTTGAACTAGTGTTTGTTTGTTCTGTCAGCATCGCGCTGCTTTATTCTCGGCGCCTCCGTCTAGTTGGTTTCTGTTGGTTGGCGCTGAGAAAGCATGTGCGTTGCTTATGTGTGAGCGCACGGTAAGGTGTTTATCTATCGTGTGCTCGTGTCTTGCGTCTCTTGTCAAAGCACGTGGCTCGGTGTTTACATTGTGGTCACGTGCTTTTGTCGTGTGCTTCAGTGTTGTGTTTGTTGTCATGAACATGCGGTTAATGAGTTCTCTCATTGGCTGCATGTTCTTGTCCTGTTATGTGAGCGCATGGCTTGTGTTGTCTATCTGTGTCATGCGCTCTCCCGTCTATTGTCTTGTCCCACCCTCCTTGTTAACCCATTATTAGTTAATTGTGTTCAAATGTTTTGTTAATTTTCTACAGTTTATAAACCCCTCACATTTGCTGTCCTGTGCCAGTTCGTCATCACATTTCATCGTTTGAAGTTTAGTCCTGTTGTGTTTCCAGTCCTCATCCTTGCCAGTCTGCCGAGTCCTGTTTGTATGTGAATGTATTTGTTTTGATAATGTTTTCCCCCTCGGGGTAGTTTATTTTGCATTTTATTTTATTTTTATTATTTAATAAATTCCCATTTTTCCTGCACTTGAGTCCTCGCTCCTTTCCCCTCACCAACCCTGACAGTACGAACTGGCCACATTAGAGGACTCAGCGGAAATGGGACTATTTCTGCGCCCAGCTTGCTCCCAGCAAGAAGGACCCATCGACCAACCCCCAGCCAGAGGACTGTCTCACAGGCAGAACCATTGCCCCTTGGCATCTACGCCGAAGATCTTCTCGAGGCAGTGCGGGGGCTTGGGTTCAGTGAGACCACCCTCATCCACATCTTTCTGGCTGGATTGGATGAGCCATTCGATTGGGAGGAGCTGGGTGATATGGACGTATTGGACGTATTGGGAGGTGGTGGACTATTCCTGTCTGAGGATGGAGAGGGAGATCCTGGAGGGGGAATGGACCCCTCTCACCACCACCACCAGCACCATCTCCTGGTCCATGTCCAGCCCCCAAGGGTTAACCCGCACCCAAAAGCAGAGGCGGAAGAGAAAGGCCTCTTCTGCGAGAGTTGCTCCAGCCCCTGAGCGCCCTCCAGTGTCGGCTCCAGCCCCTGAGCACCCTCCACCGCCCTCCAGTGTCGGCTCCAGCCCCTGAGCGCCCTCCAGTGTCGGCTCCAGCCCCTGAGCGCCCTCCAGTGTCGGCTCCAGCCCCTGAGCGCCCTCCAGTGTCGGCTCCAGCCCCTGAGCGCACCTCAGTGCCGGTCCCAGTGCGGCTCCTTGCCCTGCCGGCACCACCCAGACGTCTTGCCCTGCCGGCACCACCCAGACGTCTAGCCCTGCCAGCCCCAGCCTGGCTCCTTGCCCAGCCGGCCCCAGCCTGGCTCCTTGCCCTGCCGGCCCCAACCAGACGTCCTGCCCTGCCGGCCCCAGCCCGGCTCCTTGCCCTGCCGGCACCACCCAGACGTCTTTCCCTGCCGGCACCACCCAGACGTCTTTCCCTGCCGGCACCACCCAGACGTCTAGCCCTGCCGGCCCCAGCCCGGCTCCTTGCCCTGCCGGCCCCAACCAGACGTCTTGCCCTGCCGGCCCCAGCCCGGCTCTTTTCCCTGCCGGCCCCAACCAGATGTCTTGCCCTGCCGGCCCCAGACCTGCTCTTTTCCCTGCCGGCCCCAACCAGACGTCTAGCCCTGCCGGCCCCAGCCCTGCTCCTTGCCCTGCCGGCCCCCCACAGACATCTGGTCTTGTTTCCCCTCATAGACCCTCCGTGGGTCGTCCCTCCTGCTCCTCCCTTGTGTTCCTTTCCTCCACCCTGGACGGACCCCCTGGCTCCCCCCTGGTTCCCTGCTGGGTCTCCCGACCCGCTGGACCCACCCTGGACAGTTCCTCCGGTCCCACCCTGGACTGATCCTCCCTTTTCTTGCCCTCTCATCCCTCCCTTGTTTGTCGTTTTGGGTCTGGCTTGGCTTCCCTCCCTCCCCCCATTCATGTCGTCTTGCCTGTTCACCTCCCAGTCATGTGTCTGTTGATGTTTCTTGTTTTGTTGTCTTGTGGTGTTTCTTGTCTGTCTTGTACCTTGTTGGATGTTCCCTTTAGGGAACCAGGTGGCCAGGTGGCGTCCCTTTTGGGGGGGGGGTTGGTGGGAAGGGGGAAACACTTTACAGGTAAAACACCTTACAATAATAGGTAAAAACACTTTACAATAAACAACATATGGAAGCAGCATAACGTAAGAATGAGTAAATATTAGTTCCGTCTCAGACAAACACTACAAGTTTATGTTAAGTTGATTGACTAAAGGATTCACTTCGAAGCACCTATCATTGATTTGTATAAACAGGCTTATGGAATGCCTATGACATTGACAAGCACAGTGCTTGCAGGTGTAGCCACTGCACAATTAGGAGTTTAAAAGGCTACCTTTGAGAGGAGCTCATTAGACTTAGCTTAAACTTTTAAAAAATTACTGCAGTTTTTTTTTAATAAGAATACTGCAGTTTTTAAAGGAATACTGCAGTTTTAGTTAAATTGAAAAAAGTGCATTACAACTGAAGTACTACAATACAACCAACTGCAGTACATATACTGCACAACAACTGAAGTACTACTACAGTACAAAGGCAGCACAACTACTGCAATTCAACTGAATTACTACAACAGTACAGCTGCAGTGCAACTACTGCAATAGTACTTAAGTGATACTACTACTATAATGCAGTACAACTACTGCAGTGATACTGAATCACTACAACTACTATAATGCAGTACTGCTACTGCAATACATGTTAAATACTTTATTGCACAAGTATTAAAAGTGCACTTTAGTTTTGTTATGTATTGCAGTATTGTAGATGCATTTCTGCAGTTAGTTATACTTCAGAAAAGAACAATACAATATAATGTATTAGTACTTCAGCATTACAGCAAAATTACTGAAACCTCCTTTGGAAACCATTGTCCACAGAGCAGGAAAAGTACAGTAGTTACTGTACTGCAGTTATACTGTAGTAGTAATTCAGTTGAATTGCAGTAGTTGTTCTGCATTTGTACTGTAGTAGTACTTTAATTGTATTGCAGTAGTTGTACTGCGGTTGGTTGTATTGTAGGACTTCAGTTGTATTGCAGTAATACTGCAATATACTTAAATAATCTAGTTTTTTTGTGT